CACTGCGCTCCTCACGTCAGGCACACGTAGTATGCTCGGTAAATGTCTGTATTTGATAGAACCAAAAATTACCTAAACAACTTAACCTTTAAAACTCAATCAATATTATTTAAATCTTCCAACTGCCGTAATGTTTAGGGCCGAATAACCTTGCTAGAAGAAGACCTTGATTTTAGAAACTTGGTGCCTTTGGGAATTCATTTTAACATGACCCTCAACTAGAAGATCGACATTTAAAACACTCTGGTAGCGTTGTCTGGTAAACTGAGCAACACGTCAAATAAAACACTAAGATTCTGCATAAAGAATCGCAGAGATTACCCGTCGGCACACATCCACCAAGTAGTCAACATAACATCAATTAAGGACAGGTTCCTTATCGTCAGCAAGATATGTCATCCGCTCTATAGCTGGCTTAAACAATCGAGCGAAGCAAACACTTAAAACTCGCGAGGGCATAGACTCACCAGGGTTCCCAAAAGAAAAGTTAAATTCCCTCCAGCAAAACTTCTTTATACCACTCTAAATGAACTTCCCACGAAATCCCCCTAAAATATCGAAGCTAATACCTGCACGCTAAAAACGATGATTATGAGGCGTTCCTAATATGGCTGATAATACCTTGAACTACCTCTCCTTGGTTTGTCTGGTTTACCCACAATTCCTCTTGTGCGCTCCTCGACACAAACGCCACCTTCTGAACTCCAACTTTCTAGCACTCCGCCACCAAAATCACTATACGCATATCACTCTGACGTTTACCACACCCCCTGGCTCCTAAAAAAAATGGAGCACACTCCCTTGAAGAGACAAAAGCAGAAACAAGGTAAAAATATGGTCTATCTAAGAACAAGTAGGTTGGTATGTGTATTTGTAGAAGTTGATTTTGTTAAAGAAATTAAGAAGAACATTACTTTATTTATTGCTTTTAGAATAATAATCTATTCTAATTACTAAACCTCTATGTCCCATCTGAAATCTAGTGCCCCTGTCATTTGTCATCGTGTTGGCAACCAACATTACTTATTAGTAATGTAAGTGATTTATGATCACAAGACTTTATATTCATGAGCTACTCGGTCTCATAACAGATCATATTTAGTTTTAGTAGGATAAATAAATCATGATTTGATTGAAGTTAATTAATAATTAATTAATAATTAGTATTTATGTAATTTAATTAATTCGTATGATTTGCGTCAAAATATTTGCTATATATATTTTTTTCTATTCAAGCGTAAAACAAACAACAACGGATTTCATTCAAATCCGTTTGCATGATTAATGCCCTATCCAATTTCTTCCAACCATTAACATTTTTTTCTGGTGGCAGCATAAAATAATTAACGGCCTATTAGCCGAGCGGCTATATTATATTTTGTTTTAAAATTACTTTATCAGATCGAGACTGAGGACCACGCATTAACAAAAAAGAACGACCTTGCCGAATTTATTCTAACTCCTGAAACAAGTAAAAGGTTAGTATGACTATTAAAAAAAGCCACACCTATCGATATGTAACAAGAATTAGTACAGGCATATTTAGGTAAAATATTAGCTTTGTTTTTTAATGGACATTTGATATACTTTAAGGCAGTTAAAAGTATAAAAAAAAGGTGATACAGTAAGTCATAGAGAAGACCAGCGCGAAGCTTTATGTATGTTTTCAGGCAATTCAGACAAAATAATCATGCGTTTCATTCTATCATAAGCCATAAAAAATACCAGCAGTATCTAACAGTCAAATAAGTGAAGGTAAATTAAGAGATAAAAGGTTCCCATAAAATAATAATGAGAGAGACATGCTGCGCAGGAAAGTGAGTGTACCGAAATATATAAGAGAGATATAAAGGAATTCATAAAAATCGTAATCGTAATAATATTATTAATATCGAAGGCTCTTACTCTCACCTACCTACCTCACTTATCTGATACCGAAGGATCAGATCAAATAACACCCAAGATCCAAGCCTAGTACCACCCAATTACTTGTCTTACAACTTTGTACAAATTGGTCACATCCTGTTTAGCCCAGCGTATCTACCAATGCTGTTCTAATACTCTCTAAATAATATCATAGAGCCTCAACAGAAAGGATACGCTAAGGGTTCCATCGGATGCAAAGAGCAACTTATAATCAACTTAGTCATTTCCAACCAGGCGTACACTAAAAAAAAGGAACCTTTTCACCACCTTCATCGACTACAAGGAGGCCTTTGATTCAATACCGCATGAATGACTTATAGATGTATGGAAAATATATAGAGTCGATAATTATATAGTGACCTTTTTAAAGCATATACCCACGAAACGACTTCAAAATAACATCAAAACTGAAGATATCCCAATTAATAGGGGACTGTTGTGGCGAAGCTTAATCATTTGTTGTATATTCTGTTGTCTGTTACGCGCTGAGCTACTCATTTGGTATTATAAAGTGGACACAAACGGATATAGCGGGCCTTCAGCGAAAAGTAAGAACACTTCTCACAAAGGCACAAAAACATCATTCACGCAGTGCAGTAGAGAGAACAACATTACTGGGTATTAAGAAGGAAGAGGACTTATGGACATAGGTGAGCAACTGAATAAACTGCTAATTTAAGATCTTATTTTCAGGTACAGGCTGAGACATCTACTTTACATCGAGCAATTTGCGCAGTAGATGATACAATGCTGCTTAAACTGAGGGAACCAGAAATACACATAAATCACCTGACTCAGCAAGAAAAAATGCGCACCTGGATGAGTAAACCTCTGCATGGGCGACATTTCAATGAGATCAACCAAGAATATGTCAACGATACAGCTTCGAAATATTGGTTGACATCAGGAAAAATGTATCCCGAGACCAAAGGTTTCCTACTTGCTGTTTAGGATAAGGTTATTCCAACTAAATATTACTTGAAATGTATTGTTAAATATCCTCAAGCCCAAAATGACAAATGTCGATATGGATACCAAGCCTAAGAAACCATCCAACATCTTACCGGTGGCTGCCAGACATTTGCAGGTACTGATTATAAAGAACACCATAACTCAGTAGGGAAGATTATCCACCAAGAACAACAACAAGCAAGCAACACTTCCTAAAGAACATAAAACAGCTGCGTCTAAATAAATATTTCTATAAGGCCATGCAGAAAGCTGTACTCCTCACGACGTACAGATGTGTACAAACATTTTTGGGAGATACTCCAACATACCTAGTCACCTAGAACCCGATAATATGGAAAGAGTCCCACCAGAGCTCAATCCTTTTGATACCATAGGTATCTGGGATGAGTTAATTTTCCCCTTAGAGGGAGAGTGAGCCGTATGGCTAACTCTGGATTAATAATATTATGTTATTACATTAAATTATTAAATTTAAAACCAAACTACATATAATTTGGAGTAGAGTATATTAATATGTATATTTACCCTTAAATAAAATGTATACTGATTGTCATATTTAATAAAAGTAAAAGCCAAATTGTAAAACATCAAGTATTTCCTGCTTCAACATTATTATAATTGCATAGTTTGCTGTTATTTTGTTTTTGAAGCGAAGCTTCTATTCTGGCGTAGTATTACTTTTTCCCTGAAGTAAAATGTTGAGGCGAGCGTCACGGAAATAGCGCTACCAGATGACGTCGCCACGGGTAACGTCATAAAATACCGGTTCTTTATATCGATATCGATCAATTCGTTTCGAGTCAACATATATTTACTCAAAGCAGATTTACATTAAATGAGAAATAAAAAACTAAAAGAATAAATGGTACTAAAAGACTAAAGTAACAATTATCACATCATAAATGTCATCTGATTAATAGCGACATTTAATCATCTGTTTAAATGTTTATTATATTTCTCGTTTTAAAATGGTTTCATAAAAATACAATTAATATTTTTAAACATATTATTTAGTTTATGTAATAATTAAATTTACTATCAAATGTAGATATTTATTTATATTTTACCATTAAAGCGTTTATATGAAAAACAACACATGTCCATTTTCTGCAAATTTGACTTTATATGTTTTTCATAAACCACCCATACTGACACTACCATACACAATTTATCATCGTATCCTACACAACATAAACTGGCAGCCTATCATAGCATGTTACATAGATTAACAAACAATCCGATGTCAAAATACAATTTTGGGAAATAATTATATATCATTAAGCAAATAGCAGTACACAATGGATACAACGAATAAACAATTATTAAAATTTTAAATCAAAAACTACACAAGAAGGCCCTGAAATTAGTATTTACAACACCAGAGAAGAAACCCAGTAAATTTCTGCTCGATTACATACAGGCAAAATATCAACAAAATTAGTTAAACACGTAAAAAAGAAAGGAAGAATATTAGCTCATAGAAAAAACAACAACTCAGTAAAATATATTAAAATCAACAAGAGCCAAAATACTTAAATGTGGCGACTGCCCAAAAACTTACACCGGTCAAACTGGTAGAACTTTTAACAAACCTATAGCAGAACATAAAAGGGCTTTCGAAAATAGAAAAACGGATTATACATACGCACTTCATCTTCTAGATCATAATCATTCTTTTAATGCGAATTCTGCGAATTTTATATTCTTCACATACAAAATAAAGGCATCTTTGTTAGAATCTATGGAAATGAATGATTAAAAAAACACAGACATAATTCCGAATGACCAACTTGAGACAAACAGTTCTCCCCTCCTCAACCTAGTTCGTTAAAGACTGTAAAGTAAAGTGTAAACCCATACCAAAAATAGATCACTTGAGAAAGGCACTTTGTCGAAACAGCTGTAGTGATGAGGTTTTATAATAAATTTTGTGGAATTTTTGAAAACAAAGTTTTCAGTGTGTTATTGTTATACAAAATGAATTTCCGTCAAGTAACGATCGAATACATCACTTACATATTTTGTATTTGGCATTTCACTTTGACAGAAGGATCATCCTTCCGAATTATTATTTGAAAATGATATCTCAAATTGATTAAAAAATGAATAAACACCCACAAGTAAGTCATTTTATAGTTAAAAACAAATCAATATTTCGTAGAGCAAGTGAGACCAGATACACTTACAGTAAAATGTTATAAATATAATAAGGTAAAAAGTACCCAGTAATAATACTATAAAGAAACAAACAAATGATAATTTAATTGCTAATAGATTGCTTAAAAGATAATAAACGTTGACTGAAAATATTTACAAAAGAACTGCACTATACATATAGATTAAAATACATATTATATTGTATTAAATTACTATGTGCTATTTTAATCAATCGTTCTATATTTAACCATAAAGAATATTAAAATAGTTGGGATATGCACGTACGAAAAAAATATTATTTATTGGCCATGGGTTATCCATTAAATATTTTATTTCCTTGGTGTCGGCCCACAAAAAATGAACTAGTTGATTTTAAATTTGTTTTAATGGGTTAACCGATGTTTGTATAAAATTTGGTAGACTAGTACAAGCTCCAAAAGCTCAAGGATTACTCAACATTTGCATCTTGATAACTATTCAATTATTTTTTGAATTTTTTAATTTTTTCCTAAATTCTTGAAATTCCCAACCGTATAACTAATTAAAAAAAAGATAATTAATAACATGTATATATATTCTCATATACACGTAGTTCCGTAGTCATGTAGCCCGATATAATGACAACAGGTGGACACGGAGAATTCTAGAATGGAGACCAAGGACGACAACAAGAAGCATGGGAAGACCTCAAAAAAGATGAGTAGATGACATAAGAGCAGTGGCAGGCAAACAGTGGATTAGATTGGCGCAAGATAGAGAAAGATGGAAGCAATTGGGAGAGACCTACATTCAGGAGTGGATGGAAAATGGTTGACAAAGATATATATATATATATATATATATATATATATATATATATATATATCTATATATATATATATATATATATATATATATATATATATATATATATATATATCGGAAAAAGGAGTACGACCGTCAAATTCCAATATATAAAAGGATCACTCAACAGAGTGGTGGGCTCTTATATCGGTCAATTTGTAGGTGGAGAAATGAAAGACAAAGTTGATGTGCCACTCTATCTATTTTGAAAACGTTTCGCTTTCGTATTTTGAAAGCATCATCAGTTCATTCTAAAAAGTATAATATAAGAACCACACAATCATGGAAAAGATGTTACAGGTGTTACCTTAAAAAGACATGTAGCAGTCAAAGATGTTAACAAGCTTATGAATTAAACTTGAATAAATGGACAATGTAAAGTAGAAATGTATAAACATTTAATTTACTAACAACATTTAGTGGCTTATTAAAAAATTAGCACAGTGAGTGACCATGTGGTCCGAAGTATAAAAAATATATTAAATTATAACTTAAATGATGCAAAGAACTAAGAAAATCAACGATTAACTTCCAACAATGGATAATTATTAAGCTTTAATTTTAACTTTTGGTAGCATTATTAAAAGATGTTAATATAATTTAAAAAAAATAAGTGTAAATGAATGAAGTTACCGGTCTAAGCCTTACACCTGCTACCAGGAAAATGGCGTTAGATTGAACAGACTGACACAGAACCACGAAAAGACAGCCAACCTTGAGGTTGAAATTATTTCAACAGAACAGCAAGGTCAGAGGTACCACCTCAAATAATTGAGCGGTTTATTTAAATGTTAATGAGCTTTGGATGACAGCCCGCCTGTAAGAGACAATCTAATGAAAGAAACTGATATAGCAATAACAATTACTCGCATTAGCCCGTCTAAAAACAAACAAACAGGAGAGCCTCATTCAAACTCTTATATTCAAATTTATGTTAAACATTGTGGCTGAAAAAATTTTGCCAACAGGTGAATAACAATTAGATAATTTCCAACAGTCTAAGCTTCAGACACTTAGATCTGTAATTTGTAAAGGATTCTATGAATCAATTACAATGTTAATATTATTACTATACTATTAAATAGTGACTGGTTCACACTCATATGGACAAATTATAGTGTAGAGGTAACATTGTAATGAAAGTTGCCTATATTTAAGTAATTGGTATAAAGAATTGAGTGTTACAGTTTATTTTAATATTAGTTATTTATTTACTATGTTATATTATTAATTAAAAAAATTGTGTTCAAATATGTATATTACATGACAATTATATTGAAAATGAAAGTAAAGCCTAGTTCTGCAATATTAGAGCATGATAAATTTGGCTGAAGTTACTTATGTCAGTTCTCTTATTTAGAGAATTAGGATGTTTAAGAATTGAACACATTTCTAAAAACTGTCTTTTAAATAGATTACGTTCAGTGCCAAGAATCTTAACTTCATTAAAATCCACTTTATGTTTGGTGCTAATAGCGTGTTGTGCGAGAGCACACGTATTTTTTGATAAATTAATGGTATACTTCGGACCACATGGTCACTCACTGTGGTAATTTTTTAATAAGTCACTAAATGTTGTTAGTAAATTAAATGTTTATACATTTCTACTTTATATTGTCCATTTATTCAAGTTTAATTCATAAGCTTGTTAACATCTTTGACTGCTACATGTCTTTTTAAGGTAACACCTGTAACATCTTTTCCATGATTGTGTGGTTCTTATATTATACTTTTTAGAATGAACTAATGATGCTTTCAGAATACGAAAGCGAAACGTTTTCAAAATAGATAGAGTGGCACATCAACTTTGTCTTTCATTTCTCCACCTACAAATTGACCGATATAAGAGCCCACCACTCTGTTGAGTGATCCTTTTATATATATATATATATATATATATATATATATATATATATATATATATATATATATATATATATATTCTAAAGGGACAATCTTTTAATAATCAACTGTCAATCACCTCCCTTTCAGTACCCCAACCGTTAAATTTTAAATAGGGAATATATCATGTGTGGCACATTATTATACAGGTATTTTGCTGGAGAATTAATGCTTAAAAACTAAAGGACCATGCCATGTTGCCAACAGTCTTAGCGTCATCGCGCGTGTTAAGCTGTTAGGCCGTTTTTTCATTTCTTTGGTTTCACGAATAATTCTCGATTTTAAGGAGCAGATGGAAGCGATGATTTTTGCTTTTTCAAAATCTATTTTTTGGCCTATCTCAATATTATTGCTATTATTGATATTGGGCTAGGGCTGAAATAGTATAGATATAGACTGTTCGTAAATACGGTTATGGATTGGTTGGTTAATTGGCATAAGGTATCATATTTGGCTTACGCAAAATCTTTCTCTTTTCTTTCTCTCTCTTTTTTCACTTAATATACTGATACAAAGATGCCTGGACGCCAATCAAGATATATACGCATGTTTTATTGACTATAATAAAGCATTCGATAAAATACGACATAAACAATTACTGAATGTCCGGAAATCAAAGAAGATTGACTACAATGACCTCAGGATCATATCAAATTTATACTATAAACAGCGAGCAAAAGTAGATGTTACTAAACAGCTGTCAGAATAAATTGAAATTAGATGTGGAGTGAGACAGGGATGCGTATTGTCGCCAATCCATTTTAATGCCTGCTCCGAAGAGATCCTGAAAAACGCTCTTAAGGCTAAAACAGCTGGAATAAAGGTAAATGGAGTTCCCATTAACAACATTAGATATGCGGATAACAGAAAATATTGAAGATCTTCAGGGACCGGTGATCAGAATAGCGGAGTATGGAAAAGAGTATGATCTAACCATGACAAAATTTATGAGAATATCAAAAACTCAAAGAAATATCGAGAATCTTCTAATAAACGGAACCAACATCGAACAAGTAGACAAATATGCATATCTGGGTACAATAATTAACTCCTCAAATGATTACATTTAGGAGATTAAAATCAAAATAGAAAAGGCTAGAGCAAATTTTAACAAAATGAGAATAGTGCTATGTACCTACAAGAGATTTAAAACTGAAACTAAGAGTTAGGTTGGCAAGGTGCTATGTTTTTTCGACTATATGTTCTTCTTCTTAAGGTTCCATCTTCTAACGAAGGTTGGATATCAACATGGCAATTCTTATTTTACTTACAGCAGCTCTAAATAGTTGGCTAGAGCTCAGACTAAACCATTCCCTTAGATTTCGTAGCCAGGAGGTTCGTCTTCTTCCTACATCTCTTTTACCTTTTATTTTGCTCTCTATAATTAAACGTAGTAGCCCATAACGAGGACCTCTTAATATATGACCGAAATATTCAAGTTTCCGCCTCTTAATTGTCTGTACAATTTCTTCCCTCTTATTAACCCTATCAAGGACTTCAATATTGGTAATTTTGTCTACCCATGCTATTCGTAGCATCCTTCGATAACACCAACGCTCAAAAGCTTCCAATTTCTTAATCTCCAGTTGTTTCAATGTCCATGCCTCAGATCCGTAGAGCAAAGTTGTAAAAATGTAGCAGCGCAATAACCTTATCCTTAGATCCATTTTTAGGTCTCTATTACACAATAGATTTTTCATTTTTACAAATTTTGCCCTTGCTATTTCTATACGGCTTTTAATCTCTTGCGTTTGTTCTGCGTTTTGACTAACCAATGTTCCTAGATATTTGTATTTATCTACCCTTTCTATCTGGATATTATTAATATGGAGTGTCTCGTTGTCTTTTGGATGTTTTGTAATGACCATGAATTTTGTTTTCTTTAAGTTCATTTTAATACCATATATGGTACACTTTTCATTCAGCCGTTCCAGTTATAGTCGACTATATGTTATGAAATGGAATCTTGGACTTTGAATGCGACATCAATAAAAAAAACTAAAATCATTCGAGCTGTGGGTTTGTAAAAGAATTCTGAAATTATCGTGGACAGAACACGTCACAAACAAAGAGGTTCTGAGAAGGATGAATAAAGAAGTAGAAATTTTAAATACAATTAAAACGAAAAAATTGGAATATCTTGACCGTATTACACGTGTGGAGAAATACACCTTGCTCCAACTGATTATGCAGGGAAAGATTCAAGGAAAGAGAAGCA